TCTGGCTTGGAGGAGGCAGCTAATTTAAATCCTAGGACTAAGGGGGGGAATTAAAAAGCATCCCATTGAGTATGAGATTTGTAGGAAGTTCTCTTGTTACCAATTAAGAATTAAAGCATTCAGCTGGTGTCTCAGCTCTACATCATGCTTGAAGCAGACACCCAGATAACCCCTTGATCCACACTAGCTTATGTGAACCCACACTCTCCCTTGAGTGACCAAGTGCTCTCAGCTGAATAGCAGGGTTGGAAAAGATGTCTAATTAAGCCCCTTAGCTAGGAGGTGAAAAATCTCCTGGTTGAGCCTGACATTTGGAATGAGCCCCCTTGCTCCCTGCTAGCTTTACTGACTCCTAGCATCCAGCTAGAGGATTGAAGATATCTCAGTTGAGCATGAGGGTTGGGGCAAGAAACCTCTTTGCTCTTCATTACCTTATTTGAAGGCTAGACCTCAACTTGGAGATCAAGAAGCTCCATACTAAGTATGAGACTTGTAGGAGCTTCTCTTGCTGTTCACTAGCTTATCTGAATTCTAGCATTCAGCTGATGAATAAAAATGTATCAGCTGAGCATCATGCTTGGAACTATTACCCACTCACTTTCCTTCTTCCCTGCTAGCTTACTGGAACCCTCACACCCTCTATAAGAAGGACAGCAATCTTCTATTTAAATGTCAGATTTGGAGAAAGCATCATGTGGTCCTCTTGCTCCTCACCCTTTTACAAACTCTCTCTTGGAGAATGATCAAGCAGCTCACTGTTATATGTAAGGACTGAAGCAGATATCCAGTTAGCTCCCTTTTTCCTGATTAGCTTAGTAGAACCCTAAGCATTCTGAAAGGATGTGAAAAATCTCCTAGCATGAAGCTTGGGAGAAGCCCACTTGCTCCAAACTAGCCTCACTACATTCTAGAGTTAATTGATGATTAAAAATGCAAAAGTTCAGCATCAGGCTTGGAGCAGACACTCAGGTAGCCCTGTTGCTCCCCACAAGCTTCTATGAACCCAAGCTCTCAAACTGAGTCATTACAAAGCTCCCAGCTAAGTAGAAGGCTTGGAAGCTTGGGGAAACAGCCCCCATTCCCCCCTGCTTAGGGGAATCATAGCAGTCAGCTAGGAGGTGAAAAAGATCTCCTAGCTGAGCACGAAGCTTGGAATAAGGCTTCTTTCTCTGTACTAGCTGCACTGAATTGTATCATTCAGTTGGATGGTTGAGGATGTCTTTGCCAAGCTTGGAGCCTCCCTGTTCACTGCTAGCTTATTTGAGTTCTAGAGCTCAACTGGGGATCAAGCAGCTGTCTGTTAAGAATGAGACTAGTAGCAAACTCCCTTCCTACTGACTGGCTTAGCCGAACACTAATACTCAGCTAGAGGTTTTCCAGTTAAGTCTTCCAGTTTGGAATAACCCCCTTGCTCCCCACTCACTTTCCCGAATCCTAGCATTGAGCTGGGGATAAAAATATAAAAACTTGGCATCCAGCTTGGAGTAATCCAGCCCACTAGCTGATTTCAGAGTCCTTGGACATAAAGAAGCTTCCTGTTGAACATGAGGCTAGTAGCTAGTTCCCTTGCTCTTCAATAGCTTATCTAAAGCATGGTAAACAGCTGGGGAGTAAGAATGTCTCAATTGAGCATCAGGCTCGGCAAAGACAAGGTTGCTTCCTTAATCCTCACTAGTTTATATGAGCCCAAGATTGCAGGACAGGGATCAAGCTAAACATCAGATATGTGGTTAACCTTCTTGCTCCTGCCCTAGCTGAAGCATGATATTGAGGTAGGAGGTGAAAAATCTCCCAGTTAAGCATGAAGCTCAGAATAAGCCTTATTGGTCCCTACTTGCTTGACTGAAATATAGCAGTCAGCCAGACTGGGATGTCTCAGCTGAGCCTCAGGCTTGGATAAGACAACCAGATACCCCTTTCTACCCACTAGCTTATATGAACCCAAGCTCTGAGTTGTGTGATTACGATGCTCCCAGTTGAGCACCAGCTTTGCAGTAGATACCCAGTTAAGTTGTTTCCTCCCAGCTTAGTTAGGAGCTAAGCTATGAGGTGAAAAACTTCTCAGTTGAGTCTAAAGCTGGAGCAAGCCCCTATGCTCCCTACTAGCTTATATGAATCCTTATATGAATCCTAGTTGAATATGAGGCTTGGGGTAAGCATTGCTGCTTCCCACTAACTTTTCTTAACCCTCATACTCAGCTGTATGATCAAGGAGCTCCCAGTTGAGCTCCAGATGGCCCTCAGCTGCCACTAACTTATTTGAGTAGGATCACTCAGGTAGGTGCTTAAGATATTTCCAGTAGACATGAAGGCTAAGCTGCTTTTTTCAACACTATTTAAACTGAGACCTAGCTCTTAACTGAGGGCTAATCCAGATCTTCCTGGATGTTCCTAACCCTCACTTGTTCTCACTTGGCTTTGAGGAGATATCCTGATGATCCCCTTTTCTGCAGTAGCACATCTTATTTCCACCATTCAGGGATCAGGGAGAATAACTGACTGAAGCCCTAGAACTCATCTGGGCAAACATGAGGTTTTGGGTGGGCTTCTAAGGAGTGCCTTGATCATCGCTAGCTATTGTGGCATTTAGTTGTAATCCTGATGGCCAAGGCCTACCAATTAAGTATCAGACTAGATAGATGTCCAGGTAACCCCACAGCTAGCTCCTCAGCTTGTCTGTTCCTGATCTAAGTGGTCAGAAATAATTTTAGAATCAAGTTTGGAACCAGTGATGGTCCCAGTAGCTCCACTGAAGCCTATTTCCTTTGTTAGAAATGAGAAGTCTCCCAAATCCTCCCTTAACCCCATCTAGCTTTCCTTAGTATTGTACTAAGCAAGGAGATGAGGATCAAGGTGGCAGGTAGGCTAGATGGAACATGCAGATCCTCCCAGCTTTTTATGAAGCTTGGAAGAAACTAGCAGAGTGTGCTAGAACTCTCTTCATTCCTTTTTGAACTTTTCTCTAAACGGAGTGGCAGGCAGTTTCTCAGCTCAGTGTGGTAGTTAGGTGTACATCTGTTGCTTCTTGCTAACTCCTTACTGAAACCTGATCACCAGCAACGATGTGAGAAGCCCAGTCTGGGCAGAATTGCAGGTTGCTCAGTCATTGAGGTATTCAGCTGAGACGCACAGCTGAGACTCCAGGGACTGTAGGAAAATCAACTAAACCAGTGTTTCTCTACCTTGGGAACTTTTAGATGTGTTGACCTTATCCCCCCGCATTCCCCAACCAACAAATGGGG